AAGTGGAGAAGATTTTTAACCATCCCTGCTGAACTTCCTCCCTCTTGGAGGCTTTTTTATAAAGGTCCTCTGCCTAAACGATCTGGAGATTTGCAGTGGAGATTATTACATTGTGCATTGCCCACTAATTCTTACACTTCTAAATTCAACCCAAACGTTTCCCCGTCATGCAACTTCTGTTCCTTGCCGGAATCTGTTGTTCATGCTTTCACTGAGTGCTTCAGATTGGATCCATTATTCACTTTATTAAAAGTCATACTACTGAACTTAGGTTTTGTTTTTACCAAAACACTTTTTGTTTTTGGGTGTAAATACTCAAGAGTGCACAGACAAAAGTGTACGGTAGCAAATTTCACAATTGGACAAGCTAAATTAGCCATCTGGAAATCATGTAGACTAGCTGCTGAGGGGCGAAATGTAAATCTTCTTCAACTTTTCTTAGCCTTGGTGGAATCCAGAATAAGAACAGAACATCGATTCTTTCAAATGACAAATAACTTGCTTGAGTTTGAGTTCAAATGGTGTGTTAATGGGGCCTTAGTGTCAATTTGTGAGGATGGGAAAATAATATTTAATTGGTGATAAATGATTAATTTTTTGTGTAATTATTTATTTTTGTGTATAGCTTATTATTATATATATCTTTTATTTTATTTATGTATATATATTTAGATTTTTGTTTTTCCACCTCTTTTGTCTCCTGAACATGTTTCAGTGTGACTTCGTGTGAGGTGAAATGTAATTTTTGGTTTTAGATGTTTTAATAAAGTGTGTGTCAAAGTCTCTCTCTCTCTCTCTCTCTCTCTCTCTCTCTCTCTCTCTCTCACACACACACACACACACACACACACACACACACACTCACACACACACACACACAGAGACCAGTTTTGGTCAGGAAAGTCTTATGGCGCATTTAAGGTGTGAAAGTGCAGTAGAGCAGTACATTCCTGAGAGCTTCCGCTGGAATTCCACAGACGCTTTCAGTTGTTTTGTGTTTGTCAGTGCCACATTCTTTCAACAAGCCACCACCATGAGTGGAAGAGGAAATGGATAAGGTGACATTGTTAGATTGTGACTATAGAGACAGACTGAGACAGAAAAACAGACAGACTTTTAACAACTCTTTAATTACAACAGTTTAAAAACTGTATCGGGTTAAAAACAATTACAGCATATTGCAAGAAACATGTGTATACAAAAAAAAAGAATAAAAAACAAAAATAATAATTATTATTAATAATAATAATAATAATAATAATAATAATAATAATAATAATAATGCAATAATAAAAACTAATACCACCAAATTTACAGCAATATATGAATGAAAGGATTCAACATCATTCACCAGTTCATAATATTTTTACTCCATTACTAGCCTGCTTTTTACCCATGCTCTAAATAAGTTCAAAGGACCAGTATTGCTATCAAACAGCTTTTTTTTTCTTGTCAACCTTACTGCCAGTTTTGCCTTACCTAATAGGAAATTTGTTTTAAAAAAATCTTATTTAAAGCATTGTATTTCAGTCTAAAGATAAAAAAAAGTATTTGTTGAAATGAACCCAATGTGCATGTCTCTCAACATGGCAAACGATCTAAAAAGCCTTGAACATCCAATAAATAGGTGAAACAGAAAAGCAACAAAATAAACATTCAACTCCTTGCAAAGGATTTAAATGATTCTTTGTAACAATTTCTTGCCAATATCCAATGAGAGATCCGCCATCAAACTAAAAACAGACAGAGGGAGAGAGATTGAAGTGTATACAACTGTACTGTGCAATCATTAACTTATTATGAAGCACAACAACCTGTTTTAGGAAAAATGGATTTTATAAAGGCTGTGCAGTGCAATTTGTTGCATTTTTATTTCCATTGGTTGCAGTTTTATTTAAGTTAATATTTGAACATGAGTGGAATAGAGTGGCACAACGAAACAGGATGGGTAGAATCAATAGAAATATTGATTTATCTAGAAAACTGACGCTTTTGGTTATCACTCCATGATGAGAGACTCAACAAACATTTGCTTTAGTTATTGTTTTATGTTTTTGAGCCTTATATTTCCAGCAGGACAAATAATCTGTGTGGTGCCATTGTTTAGTGGACTGTGACATCACTCTGGCATTTCCTGCCCCCTGCAGTGACTTCTTGGTGTTAAATATTTTTTTTCCAGTTCATAGGGTGAAAAAAAGTTAAATGTTTATAAACTGTACGCTTTGACTAATAAAATCATTCAGTCATTTATTTTCCTTCGGCTTAGTCCCTTTATTTATCAGGGATTGCCACAGCGGAATGAACTGCCAACTTATCCAGCATATGTTTTACGCTGTGAATGCCCTTCCAGCCACAAGTCAGTACTGAACAACACTCATACACTGTCACGGTCACACACATGGCCAATTTAGCTAGAAAATCATTTATGATATTTATTTAAGAGTATCAGATCAATACTAGCTTTAAAAAATCACAATTACTGTAATATATATAATGTATGACTAAATGTGCATTGTCATGGTTCTCCTGGTTTTACATTTTCAATGCAAATCTATCTAGAATAATGACTTCTTACTATCATCTGTCACTGAACCATGTATTTTTATATAGTCTTAATATGAGAAATGTTTCACAGTGTTAGGTTGCTGCTGGAAGGGCATCCGCTGTGTAAAAATATATGCTGGATAAGTTGGCAGTTCATTCAGTTGTGGCGACCCCTGATTAATAAAGGAACTTAAGCCGAAAAGAAAAAGATTGAATGAATATGAGAAATGTCTGAAAGATCACTTGGGACTGCAGATGCTTCAAGTGGTAATTTCCTTTAACAAACTTTGTGTACATTTCCAGTGTGTGTTAAAATGTCTTTTTCCAGTTACGGGATTTTGCATATTCGAATCAGTGACATTTGTTATGGTGCTGATAGGATTAATGACATACAAATGATCCTGTCATTACCTCCGTTGATGGGGTTTAATGTGTCGTTTGCATGTTTAGTGAATGTTATCACATTTTTATCAAGGGTAAACAGGATAGCCTTCATGCCTACGGATGAGCAAAATGTCAAACGAGTCACACTGAATGATGTATAAATGAAGAGCTTATTTAAAAAAAACCTCTATTTTCAGACAGCATGTTGTGCATTGAAGAGCACAATTAAAAAATAATCCGAATCATGAAAATAATAATAAAAAAGTTTACAATGAATACAAGATAGATAGATAGATAGATAGACAGATAATTAGATAGATAGATAGATAGATAGATAGATAGATAGATAGATAGATAGATAGATAGATAGATAGATAGATAGATAGATAGATAGATAGATAGATAGATAGATAGATAGATAGAAAATTATTACAGTAAGAGTATTGTTCTAAACATGAAAAATACTAATAAATATTAAGTGAGCAATGTTATAATCAGAATAATATTTTGAAGGATCATGTGACACTGAAGACTGCAGTAATGATGCTGCAAATAAATCAGCAACAAAGTAATGATATTTAAAACATTTTAAACACAATTATTTGAAGAAATATACTATTAAAATTTTTAAAATAATATATATCTATAATTTTTCCTTTTGATAAAATGCATTATTGGAGAGTCAAATATATCACGTTTATAAAATCAAATTTTAAAGTAAATTAAAATAAACACTTATTGTGTATGTGAAAAGGGCAGTTATTTTAAAATAACTTTTTAAATGACCATTTGAATTAAAGGATACTGGCAAAATATGCAATAAAATAGTTCAGATGCAAAAACCTCTTCATGCAATCTGAAATGACCATAATTTAAAATGACTATTTTTTTTGCAAGCTCCTGTGTGCATGTTCAGTAAATGCACTTTTATAGCAAAGTGTTATTTGCATTGCCTCTAAAGTGAAATAACTTAACAAAAATATTGGTTGAGACAAATGCTAATTTTAGAAGACAATTTCAGATGGCACTTAGAGGCTTTTGCATCCGAAGTCAATTAAAATATAAATTTGTATATTATAGTTAGTACTATTTGCCCCCTTTGAATTTTTTATTTCTTTTTTAAATATTTCCCAAATTATGTTTAACAGAGCAAGGACATTTTCACCATGTCTGATAATATATTTTTTTTCTTCTGAAGAAAGTTTTATTTGTTACATTTTAAGGACAAAATTATTAGCCCCTTTAAGCTATATATTTTTCATGGACAAACCATAGTTATACAATAACTTGCCTAATTATCCTAACCTGCCTAAGTTAACCTAATTAACCTAGTTAAGCCTTTAAATGTCCCTGTATAGAAGTGTCTTAAAAAATATCCAGTCAAACATTATTTACTGTCATCATGGCAAAGATAAAATAAATCAGTTATTAGAGATAAGTTATTAAAACTATTATTTTTAGAAATGTGTTGAAAAAAGTTTCTCACCGTTAAATAGAAATTGGGGAAAAAATAAAGAGGGGGACTAATAATTCAGTGGGCCAATAATTCTGGATTTAACTGTATATGTGATTTACTAAATATAATGAACAAATATTGAGAATTTCAGTTTTATGTAAATTCAAAATAAAATATATCAGTTCAAAAATCCTTTCTATCACTTGACAAATACAATATCCATAATCTGCAGTCCTGGCCTTAAGTGGATATCCTGGATCCTCTCTATCAGTCGTGCTTTTTCCGGCAGAAGGTTTGTGGCTAATGGAATGTATCGCTGGACACATGCAAAACATGCCATTAAACGCTATCTGCTTTGATGATGACAGCGCGTGGATGTCCCTGATTGAGGAAAAAAACACTTTCCTGTTTCTGTGACTCTGATTTATCCAGTGGGAGTTGATGACATCACTGTCTGTTCCATTTACCTTTTTTTCATTCCTCATCCCTGGAACCAATCCAGAGACTGGAATGTCTGGACTCGCTGTGGGAGTCACTATTGTGTAATATGGAGTGGGCGGAGCTTATGGGAGGATAAATGGAAGGCAGGCAGGTTGAGTTGAACACAAGCACCTGTCAGTCTCTCACTGTAGACACTAACTGTACAGCATCACTCAACTGGATTTAACAGGCGTGTGAAACTCTACAATGGCTTTTACCCTTCAGACTGCCCTTTTGGTCTTAGCTACCCTATGTGTCCTGCAGCAAGGTAAGACACCTGCTTGTTTATTTATTTATTTGAAAGAAAATTCTGTGTTCTGTCTTCTAGTGTGGCTTAAACATGTATGAACTGCTTTCAGTTTCCACAGAATGTGTGTTTTATGCTGTGGGGGGTAATTATGCATTGTTTCGTTTTGAGAAGTTACACAAACTTTTTATGTTTTATTTATTTTAGCCTGATGGCATAGAGACAAATCAAGTGGAGACTTAAAGACAAATGAAGTTTGCTTATCTTAGATTTTCAGTTTCACACTTATTATACGCTTTCCAGCGATCAAAATAAAAAGACAGTTTCTGTCATTCTTTAAATTATTCAAATGTATTTTTTAATAGAAAAAGGCTCTATCTGCAAATAATTGCTTGCGTTATCTTGTACTACATGACCACAAAAGTGGACCTCTGCCAAAACTTAAACCACAAAAGAATCACTTATGGCATATTATCTTGACTGATAAGTGTGACGGTTATTACTCAGCCTTATGTCTATGTAAGTAATGTTTATATTGTATTTGCAACTGTAGTGTTTGTGTATTTATCAGAGTAAAAGGGAAATAAAATCAAAGACTTAACATAGATGTATATAGAATAGATAAGCCACTCTACACTGTGGTATCTGTATATACATTAAAATAACTGACACATTACCGTAAATTGACATACAATATTAATATTATACACCACTCTATATTGTAAAACATAAGGCTGTATATATACATTGTGTGTATATATATGTATATATATATATATATATATATATATATATATATATATATATATATATATATATATATATATATATATATATATATATTTATAAAATCTATAAATATAAAATCTTTAAAAAATTTAAAAGCAAAATTTTGAAAAAATGTGACACTCAAAGAAGTCTATGCAAAACAAACAGCAAACGGTCTCACTTGTAAAAATAACAGAGGTTTAAATCACAGATTGTTACAGATTGATTTATTCATATAAAATGTCAATAAAGTTGGCAAATGTAGATTCCAGCACAAGAAATATAGTTTAGGTTAGCAAAAATCATTTTGAGAACATGTTTCATCACAGATGTTCTGTTTCCTAGGGTTTGGATATCCACTGTCTAAACAACCTGAAGCATCTAGCAATCCACCTGCTCACAAACGGGTCCGCACCAAACGCTGTTCCTGTAGTAGCTGGTTAGATAATGAGTGCATCTATTTCTGCCACTTGGACATCATCTGGGTCAACACACCAAAGTAAGTGCTTCTCTAAAGTCCAGTTGATTTAAAAGAAAAATACTATAATTCACACTGACCCATATTTTAAACTTATTGGTAAGTGATACAAGAACCAGAAGAAAGGTTCCATTTGGAAATGAAACAAGTTTATCCGAAACTGAAATTTCTGACATCATTTAATCTCCTTTCATTTGTTCCAAACCTGCTTGAAAGCATTTCTTCTGTTGAATATGATAGAAAATAGTCTGAAGAAACCTGAAAACCTACAAACATCCAATTCCAAATACTACAGAAGTTAATGATTACAGTTTTTAAGCTTTCTTCAAAAAATTAAGAAGACAAGAAGAAGAAACTCATAAAAGTTTATAGCCACTTGAGATTAAGCAAATAATGTGGAAATTTCTCATTTTTGGGTGAACTATGCATTTAATATGTTGTTTGGATTTTGCCACTAACACATCTCTGTTATTTCCTTTGTACAACAGTAAGATCACCCCGCTTGGTCTTGGGAGTCCTCTGTCCCGTCGCCGGCGTTCCACTGGTAGATGTGAATGTGCGAATCCCGCCGATCGTACCTGCTCCAGTTTCTGTCACACCAGGTGAGCTCAGACTCTTCCCGCTCCACCCTGAAGATCAAATCAAACTGATACGTGTCATTTTGTCTGTCGCGAATTCCGTAAGCATTCATGTGTGACGTGTGGAGATCCGGGTAGCTTTTGTGGGGGGTTTTACCAAGCATCCTCATCTCTGAGATGAAAGGGGAAAAAGGGAGAGAAAGAGAAACTGTCTATTGGCTAGAGTAGTTTTAAACCATGCAGGTCCTAAAATCAAAGTACAGCTATTTTGGGTGATGGTTGCATTCCTGTGGTTGTTCAAGTAAGATATTAGCTTGTGTCTGTTTTATGAGTGTGTCTGTGTGTAGAGTAAAAGATATGGATTATACATATATATATATATATATATTTTTTTTTTTTTTTTTTTTTTTTGCTCCTGGGTTTGCAAGAGCAAACCATTGAGGTTATATGAAAGAAATATGTTTATTAATTTATCTGCAATCAGGAGTGAAAGTTTAGATGGTCACACTTTTTTAATGGTCCATTTGTTGAATTTGGTTACATTGCAACTAATTAGGTTAGGGTTAGGGTTAGTGTAAGTTGACATGCTTACAAAGTTTCTTATAGTCCGATAAATGTCTGTTGGAGCAGTATCAACAGATATTAAGCAGACAGTCTTATAATACTCAAATAGACCATCAAAATAAAGTGTTACCGTTTAGACACATTTGGATGAGCAGATTATTACTGGTGAATTTTATATGTAAACGTATTCTCAAATTTTGTCTGCAGTTCTGAAGATCCAGATATGGAGTTTGTGACTCAACTTGATAACCAGTCAGATCACAAGGACAAAACTAGTGATCATCTGCTGTTGTCGCTCAGGTAAATCTTACTAAAAACAACATTTTTTAATTAATTTATTTTTTAAGACCTCAAATCTGGAAGACAACTTTTTGTCCAAAAAAAACTGTTTTATATATATATATATATATATATATATATATATATATATACATATATATATATATATATATATATATATATATATATATATATTTTTTTTTTTTTTTTTTTTTTTTTTTTTGAGTAAATTATTAATCTAACATGACAATTACATATTCCTAAAAGCTAAAAGCAATCATCTTCAAAAGTAAACTTTATATATATAACTTAACAAGCGGATTAGTGCCCCTGTTTATTTTTTTCCCAATTTCTGTTTAATGGAGGAAAGATTGTTTCAGCACATTTCTAAGCATAATAGTTTTAAAAAACCTATTTCTAATAACTGATTTATTTTATCTTTGCCATGATGACAGTAAATAATATTTTACTTGATTTTTTCAAGACACTTCTATACAGCTTAAAGTAACATTTAAAGGCTTAACTAGGTTAATAAGGTGAACTAGGCAGGTTAGGGTAATTAGGCAAATTATTCTATAACAAAATTATTCTAATAATTCTGACTTCAACTGTGTGTGTGTATATATATATATATATATATATATATATATATATATATATATATATATATATATATATATATATATATATATATATACATATATATATATATATATACAATCACTTGTTTTTATACAAATGACATTTGCTGTTTGTTACTACCTATTGAAAATGAGCTAAATCTACACAATTCTTCAAGTTTTTGGGGGGCCAACATAATTGTTTTATTTTATTTCAATCCCCTTAAATTTGTAAAGCTAAAAGCGTAATTCATTGTCTCAACAAAAACCAATTCCATCATTTTTTACAGGGTATTACACTTCTATTCACTTTTAGTGTTTTTCATTTATTAAAAAAAATAATAATTGTCAGCCCAACAATCAAAAGTGGTTAAGTAGTAACTGTATCATAATTACTGCAATATTATAATTTAGCACCATATTAATTACAAAATAAGTACAATAATTAGTGCAAAATTTAGTATCTCCTAAAAATACTATAATATTTATTATTTAATTAGTGAGTAAAGTTTTTATTTTTGGGTGAACTATCCCTTTAATGTCTATATCACATAATAGCTGTGTCTAGCCTTGGGACTAAATATTGTGTCATTTCTGTTTGCAGGAGGGTGGTAAAACACAACCTCATGACAGCTTCACGTTTTGCTTCACCCAAGAAGAAATCCAGGATCAGCTAGAGAGAGCAAAAGAGAAAGAAGAGAAATGACTGTAGAAGTGAGCTTCTGAACAAAATCAATCCTGGATGAAGAGGATCTGCCTCTTGAGAGGTGGACAAAAGCATGGCGGATTCTCAGACATCAAGATGAACTGAACCACTGAGGCACAAACCTTCAGATACTTCAGTTGAGCTGGAGCCGAAACCACTGTTCGCTAAAGTGCAAAGATGATTTATATGGTGAATAGAAGAACAGTTCCTCTTCCACACCAGTGAAATGGTGGCATATGCCAGATGAGTGAGTTAACATTTAGCACAGAAAGGCTTCCTGAAAGCCTAATCTCTTTTTTTGACACCAAATGTTCAGTAAAACATTATTTTTGTGTTCTTGTTACACATTATTTATGCATAATTAGATGAAATAACCTCAAATCAAGTCATTACCCAGTATACATTGTTAGTTAATATTAGTACTTAAATTACTGTAAACTGTAACAAGGGCACAGAAAAAAAACACACGTTATTAAAGTTTTCCTCTGTATCAGAGATAAATACTGTTATTTATTTGTTTATTTATTTATTTATTGATATATATGTATTTATTTATTTTACTTTTATTTGGAGTTTAGTTTTATCATTTCTGCGATCAGATTTGTATTTATACAAAATGAAAAATGCAAGATGTAGCCATGAGGAATGTTTATGTGTTTTCTTTTTTATGACTCCTTCTTTCCTCCATGTTTTCCCCTCATTTTCCCTTGAGTGAAGGCGGAAGTATTTATTGCATACTTCCAATAGGCTGTTTTTTTATTGTTCAGATACCAGCAAGTTTCAATAGCTCAAAGCTTGCCAAAAAATGCTGTTATTGTTTTTCTAAAAGTACAAACCGGCTGTTACTGTCTGGTCACTCATTATGTAAAAGACTGTAGTGCTACTGAATTCCCTTTCCATATTAAATGGAATATATTTAAATGTATGCTTATTTTACATACTATTGACTACTGAAGTTTGACTACTGCAAAATATATGTTAATATGCTGCACATGTTCATGTTTTCTAGAAGAAGAAAAAGAAAACTACTTCACAGATACTTGAATGTTCAAATGTTAAAAATGCTTGCATCCATTTTGTTGTTGTTGTCTATTTAATTTATTTAATGAAATCTATTTTTGTATTGCTGTATCTTTTAATAAACAAATATATACTTTCAAATAACATAGTAGTCTGTTTTCATTTTTTTTTTTTGTATTACATTCACTGCAAATAGCAATAGTTGACTTTTCTTACAGAAAAAAAAATGTGTAGACTCACTCTTTTTAAAACTGTTAGTTGACTTATTTAAAAAGGAAGAAACCCATTGTCTTATAATTATTAAATAAATGAACTACACTGTAGTATCCAAAATAGTATCCACAAATTAACAGTTTTGTGCGTTTGGGGGTGTTTCTGATTGCATTATGGAACCTTAACTTTTTCTTCCAACTCTTTTTGATATTGAAATGGTGGACTATAATGGACATTTTTAATAGTTTGAAGTGTTCATAGTTTATAATTAATATAAATAAATAAATAAATATATATATATATATATATATATATATATATATATATATATATATATATATATATATATATATATTATTTAGATATTATTTAGATATTATTACTGTTTCTATTACTGAGGAAAAACAAAATCCAAACCTACAAAGGACCTGTAAGACATGTAATAAATGGAACCATGAATTCTGCTGTTTACCAAAATATCCGGAAGTAGAATGTCCAGCCATTGGTTAATGATCTCAAGCTGAAAGAATCTTGGGTCCTACTGAATGACTTGTGTTATTAAGACTTGTACAATGATCCAAAACAAAAGCAAGTCCACTTCTAAATGGCTGAAAAAATAAATGAAGACTGACCTGAATCCAATTGAGATTCTGTGGCATGACCTTGGCTAAATTTCCAACACAATCTCAAGGTAATTTGTAACTTTTTGATCTAGTGCTAATTATCATGAATATATACAATCTCATAGGTACATTTTTGTACCATTTGCTTATACCCTAAAGACATATTTTGGGTTTTGGACACAATTCCAGCAGTTGGGTGCCACTCTTTCTATTAAAAGTTGTACATTTTCATATTAACTCAAATTCATAATTAGCCACTAAACTGACAAAACGTAAAAGAATTATGTTTCCTTGAGAGATCAGGCTGGAATTATAACAATTCTTCAATGATTGGTGGGCTAAAATTTCTCCATAGCACTGTAACAGACTCAATGCATGTTATCGAAAATGCTGGGAGGCCTTATCAGTTATTAGATTTAGGAAGCAAAGACTTTTTCTCACATGGCAATTTAGTTTTGTATTTAGCTGTTTTTATTATAAACAAATCTAAAATATGTTTACTTGTGTTATTATTGACTAATACTTAAATTTGGTAAATGATCTTAAACACTAAAGTGTGACAAATATGCAAGGAAAATAATAAATCAGTAAGGGGGAAAACACTTTTTCTGTAAGAAAGAATGTTCTTTCTTATACAGTCTATTGTTATAATATTCTAAAATGTCAATGAAAGTCATTTTGTTAAACCGCAGACTGGAATTTTCAACATCAAAAGTCGACAGAGATCAACTTCCTATAATGCAAATAATAACCATTAACAGTAACTGAACATTATCAGTAACAAAAGTTTTATTATCAGTTGTTTTTTTCAGTGTATGTGCATAAAAAAACAAAAAAAAGTAATGTAACACTTGCAAGTTTTAGTTCAAAAGGTTTAATCTCTGTCTTTTTTAAGCAAAGTCGATTTGTGCTTTTAAGGCAATGAGTTTACTCCTTTTTTTAAGTAAAGTAACTAATCACTTATTATAGTATTGAATCCAATCCAGTACTATAAATCCAGAGAAAATGCCACTCCTACACAACATAAATCTATCATAAATATAATCTAATGCAATCTCTTAATGACAGATAAATGCATGCATTATTTGTTCTGTTCACTTGTCGGTTGTAAAATTATGAGCAATCCTCTTTCAGTTGCAAATACTCATTTATCTGTTTTCTGAAGTGTGTTGTATGCCAATTTTACTGTCTGTAAAAGCATATGGAAAAATAATATACAGTAATATATATGCCAATAAAATAAAAAAGTATAAATTATGTTATATTTGTTATTATTTATCATTTTTTTAATGGTGATTATTATTTTTTATTATCTTTATAAAAATTGTTAATTCGTACAAACTCAGAATTCCACATGTGCATTTAAACAAGTGCACAACATTCTTCTCATATTAGTCTTAAGAGTTGGATGTATGAGTGAGACTCAAGACATTTGTGTTGGTTCTTTTTTAAGCATTGTTTGACAGTTGTCCAGGATGGTATTTTATCTTGTGAAGATGTGCAGTCTCTTTGTCTGCCACCCTATTCAAGCTGCCCAAATGTTTACTCAATACGTGCGGTTTTGAAATTCCAAGGAACATTCAGTGTATCCGTAATGCAGAGGAAAGTCGCATTATGCGGGCTGATCTATAGAATTTGGCTTATATGAAATTTCTTATGTAAAATGTTTGCAGTTTTTTACATGATAACTGGGTTAGTATGGACTAATGTAACTACACTGATAACTGTAACTATAGTTTCACTCAGAAATAGTTGGTTAGGGCGATAGTTCAATGAAAACTATGTAATCATTTTCTCATCCTTCGCTTGTTACAAAGTTGTTGAACACAAAAGAAAATATTTTGATACATTTTGTAAACCGCTAGCCTTTGATCGCTAGTATTTGTTTTTCTTACAGTACTGTGGATGTCAATGAATTCCGGTTTCTAACATTCTTCAAGATATTTTTATTTTTGAGTGTGTTTAACAAAAAAAAAAAAAAGGTTTGGAACCACTTGAGGCTACGTGAATAGTGAGTAAATTTTAATTTTGGGGGTAAATTATCCCTTTAATTTTCCAGATGAGCAAATTCATTTAATCTGAAATTATTACCAAATCCAACTAACGATTTAAAGATTATATTTTGAATGATGATATCTGTAAAATGGCCATTAATAATGATTGTTTTATTAACAACTTCAAGTCAATAATATTTCAATATAATTCCCTCCAGTTTAAGACGCATCAGTTGTTGAAATGTGTATATCATCTCTTTTGTCCAAATATGTTTATTGATTTTTTCCATTTATTCCTCCTATCAACTAGACACACAATAACAATGCAGCGTGCAAAACAGCACACATCCACACACTTCTTTTATATGTATATATATATACACATATACTGTACATACACACATATACACAATTAAATGGCATAACTAAAACAAACAAACAAGTAAAATAAGTAAATAATAAATAAATAAATGAATACATTAAAACGTTGAAAAATAGAGACACAAAATAACAAAAAAAATAATACAATTTAAAAACACTTTTACAAACAAACATTTTACATAACATTCATGTATGGTTATTTGAATAGCATCTTATGTAAAACATTAGTTAAGCCTGTGTACAATAATAATTTTTAAAGAAAGATTTAAAATAAAGGAACTAAGCTGAAAAAATAAAAATTAAAATGAATGAAAGTAAGGTTTAAACAAGGTCCCATTAGTTTATGTCCATGTATTTAGTAACATAAATTACACTCGAAAAAATGATGTTTGCTTTTTGTTCAAACAGCTTAGTATGAGCTCAAATAACTTAAGTGTTTTTGTTTTGAGACAACTTCATTGTTTTATGTTCAATCCACTTAAATTTGTAAAATTTACACAGCATTTTTACAATACTTACATTACAGCATTTAATAATCATATTTCAAAATTTTCTAACAAATTATTACAATTTGTGCTTGCTAACATTAGTTAATGCAGTGTGAGGGCTGACAAAATAAAAAACTAACAATGACTGTCTAAATGAACTAAATTATCATTAACGTTAACGAAGATAAATAAATGCTGTAATAAATGTATTTGTCATTGTTACTGACTCCAATAACAAATGAAATATTATAAGGCAAAGTGTTAACATTACAAATAGCAGCCATAAATTACACCTGTAATTACTGTTTTTTACTTATCTGACTTTTTAAAAGATTTCCACCGCTCTTTGTGCTCTTATTCTTATTTTATCTATTTTTATTTTATTTTAGTTTATCTTATCTTATCTTTTTTTAATTATTTTAAACTTTGAAATAGTGTATAGTCCTGTGTTATGTTGTCAATGTATGTTGTTTGATAGCACCTGTGTCCTGGAGGAACATTGTTTCATTTCACTACTGCACTACTGCACTGTTGAAATGACAATAAAGCCAACCTGACTTGACTTGATGATATTTCATTACTACAGAGCCCCACACAGAAAAGAGTGTATAATAAGGCCACAACTTTGCACATTTAAGTAAATCATGCACACAATATTTTACTAAGGCCACAATGTGAAAAAGTAGAAACATTCTTAATTTGTGGCATATATATTTCCCCCTATATCAAATTCAGGCTCCAAGCAACACAGCAGATTTAAGTGGAACATGAATTCATTTACCATAAGCACAACTAGGTCAGAAATTATGGTGCAGCGTATATTTTCTCACTCCGTCTCTTTTTCTTTCTTCAGCGGAGATGAAAGCACCTTGTGCTCACACAGCTCTTTAAGAGTAAACAGCTGACTAAGTGTAAGAAAAAACAGGATGTCGTCTGCACATTCCCGCCGCATTCCTTCAGACGCAGTTAACAAACTACTGTAGGGAAGAAATGGAAAAACACTCAGCCAGAGGAACTGCTGTGGCTACAGCGGAAACTGATTACTGACTAAACTGTTGTGGTTGTCATAACACTGTGTGCTTTGTTTTAATCTTTCCCTTTGTGCCCTTTAAGCATTTCTGTGCTGTTCAGGCCATTAGTAGTGGCTGCAGGTGCACATGTATCTACAGATCTGCATGCATTCATTTACAGGAGACTGAAAACTTTACTGTTGATTTGTCACAGTATATATTTATCCTTGTTAAAAAAAATAATAATAATAATAATTATTGTAGCTGTTCATGTTAGCACAGATACATTAAATGATATTAACAAATTCATGTATTAATACATTATAAAATTATATAGTAGTTTAAATTACATTTTAAGTTGTTGTATGGCCATGTTACAATACACTACCTGACAAAAGTCTTGTCGTTATTCCCAATTGTAAGAGCAACAAATAA